CTGGGAGTTGAAGTCCACTCATCTTAAAGTGGCCAAGTTTGGACAACACTGCTTTATGCCATTTCTAAGCTATCAATAGTGAACTAATATAGTTACCAACTTGGAGTCCACATGTGCTGTGCTAAGTGGAACTGTGTTCTTGCACAAATAACCTTTTTTTAAAAGTGCAAAAAGGAAATACAGTGATGAATATTTAACAAGGTAGGGAAAACGTGGAGCATGGCTTCTAGCATTTTTTTCTTCAAACCTTTCACCAACAGTGTCGATAGGAGGCGACTGCATTGCCTTTTGTGTAACGCAACAGTGTGTTGCATCTGTGTGTGTTTGTGTTCTTCTCTGGTGTTGCATCTCTGTGTTTTTGTGCATGTGTGTGCTGAGAACCAGAGGCAGGCTGCATGTACTCTGCCCAGGGTCCTGTGACCAGGAAGGAGGAGGGCTTGGAAAGGAACAGTCGCCTACGTTCTTAGCTGCCATCCAGCTGCCTCTAGGGATGAATTGATGAAACTTCCCTACAGCCCTCGGCTGAGTCTGGCCCATTTTTAAACTTGGTATTTCTTTTTCCAGTTTCTCCACCACCCCCAACCCAAATTTAGTCCTATTCTACTGATGTTTTGGACCAACAGAATCTGAGCCCTTCTACGTGAATTCCATTGGGTTGGCCAAGACAGGGAGAACAAGCAGGGCATGGCTTCAACCCACTGAAGTAATTTAAGCCTCTGCGTTTGTAGGGACACTTTCTCCCCAGGGATTAATTGGGGTACCTGCAAACAGAGCCACATCCAGACAGAGGTGGAAGCAAGACGGTGCAAACAATATTGCAGTGCAAGTCCTGTCCCTTTATATATGTATGCAACAATGACACATGTATAAAAGGAGTGGGGCTTGCATCACCATCTTGCCTTTTTTTATTTTCTTCCATGGATACTGCTTTGCAAACCTCTCTGTGTGTGTGTACATGTATGCATGCGTACCTGTGAGGGTGTAATCAGGGTAGATGCTTATATGTTGCTTATATGTTATATGTGTGTGTATTTCTGCTTTCCCCTCATGCTGTGTCTTTTATGTGCAGTGGGAAACATAGGGCAGGCTATCTACACTCTGCTTTGTGTCATACAACAGGTTGGAGTGGGGGCTGAAAATGGATCATTCAGGGGTATTCCAAGCTGCTGTCCAAATGCCTTTCCCCTAGAGATGCACTGAGGGATTTCCCCCCCCCATTTTTTTTAATTCAGCTGCCCTTGGCTGGATCCAGGCCATTCTCCCACTCCATCTTACTTTTGCCAGCTCCTTTCCCCACACCAGATTGTTCAGTGTTTGGAGAGTTGTCCTCCTGACAGACCGACAGAGTCCTGACCCTCTTTACATCATTTATTTTCAATTTTCTATTGGGTTAGGAAGAATAAAAATAGGATTTCAGTGGACTGAGTGGACTCACCCATGGCTCCTTAGTACTTCTGTTGAGGGACATTTTTTACCAACAAGTTTGTATTAAGAGATTTTATTAGGGGATGGGGTGCATAAAATAATACAATTGATACTAAATGATTCTGGATTACATTTTGGGTACAAAAAATTAATTTAAGAAGTTTTTAAAAGAGGGATAGGCAGACATACACAAATGCAACCATGGTCATGATCCTACCAGAAATGCAAATTCCCATGTTCTTAATGACAAAAACAGGGAGGATTTTGTTTCTTTAACTGAGCATCCACAACTGCACAAAGTTTGAGAAACACTGCTCTAAGTGCGTATATCAGATCAGGGGAGGCAGGTGGCAACAAAAGAAAGGGCCGTACTGTATCTGTGTTGTTTTTATCCTTATGATTGACTTTTTAAAAATGATGTGTGTTTCTTTTACTATTATTTTTATCTCTTATTATTTTTTTTAACATCACCCAGAGAAATTCAGTACTGTGCAGTCAGAATAATAAAATGAATGAATAAATGAAGGTTAGGTTAAGTAATTTTGCCAACAGTGTGAAGTTGAAATGCATACTCTTACTTAAGCGTTTAGAGTTCCTGTAGTTAGGAGCAAATGCCATTATTTGCCACAGGCTGATTCAGATTTCTGCTTTTTTCTTTGCAGCTGACATACCTTCCACCTCCATGGGGTGAGTGCCACTCATCAGACTTTGGCCTGGAGTTTTTCCCCATCTATAGCATCACTGCATGCAGGATCAGTTGTGAGACCCGCTACGTGGTAGAGAATTGCAACTGCAAAATGGTTCACATGCCAGGTAGGTCTTTGGGAGCGAGCTGCCAAAGTTCTGTCAGAATGCACCAAGCATGCAGAAACGATCTTCCAACCCTCTAACTTATCTGGAGGATATATGGCTCTAGAGATAATTGTGGTTTGGCATGCAGCCATCCTTCATTTCTTCTTTGAATTAGTAAACCTCATTTTCAGACTATCACTAGAAGGGCTACTGTCAGTAACCAAATCCAGTGCCTCTCTAGGATGCACCACAAAGAATTCAAACATTAATTGCTCGGAGATGGCTTCTACTGTTAATAATGATATGTTCCTCAAAATACTTAGTGTATTAATAGTAGAGATTTGTTTGCTTTTAAAAACAATCTGAAGTAATTGAAATAAACTTTTATAATTAGATATAAAGAGCTTTTATATTCAATAACTACAGAACTTTCAAAATATGTGCCTGATTTTTTATTTCAGATCATTTGCTGCCTTTATTTGATTTGATTTTAGAAACAAAGTGACAAAAGCACTATTTTCATGTAAATCTGCATGACTTTAACTAATACAAACTGAAAAATTAGAAGAATAAAAAGAGTAGAAGATGCAGAAAAGAAAGAAAAAAGGAAAAAAGAGAAATAGAAAAGAAAGAAAAGTAAGAATACAGCAAAGAATACACACACACACACACACACACACACAAAGAAGTGACTTCCCACCTTCATCACAACAAGTTTAAACAATTTTAGTAACTGATCCCCTCATCTTAAAATACAACAAATGATCTCTTCTTCTCATATCCCATCTCTTATCTATAAACAAATCCATAAAGCATTATCATTTCAGTCCTGGTGTCAGCAAAAGTCCATTAAGGGTTACCAGAAATAACAACATATCTATTTTAACCTTGATGAAATAAACCAACTTTATATTCCTTCCTTTTACTTCTAATGATCTTAATCTTCAGTCCATTCAAATAATGTTATAGAAC